GGACGAGAGACGAAACGTTTCTACATTTTTTGTTGTTTTGCTTTGTTTTGGGTTTTTTTTGAATGTCCAGAGGACCAGATTTAACTTTTTTAGATTTTTTTACCTGGATTATTGAGCATGTATCAGGATATCAAAAATACTTTATTAATCCCAAAGGAATTATTTGTTGTTGTAATTCGTTAACCTCATTTCATTAAGAGATATTATAGATACCGATGGCTGTAGGTAGGAAGGATCTCTTGTAAAGCCCATCCCACAGTAAATCCTAAGAAACTGGCTCCAGATGCCGTCCGATCCGTCTACCCAGACTCGGCTGGCCTCTCGTTTCCCCCAGGCTGTAGGACCGCCTGAATGCCGGGCAGAAATCCTCACAGAATGATGGCCACTATTCCAAGCAGTCTACCGAGCTCCTCGTCGCTGCGGACAGACAACTGTAGGTGCCAAGGGACGATCCTGTCCTTCCGCTATCATGAGCTGTGTTTCCTGCTAGTTCCAGGATCTCAGTGGTCAGGCACTCGAGCACAGCTGGCAGGTAGATGAGAATGCGTCCACAGAACATCCTTTCAACTTATTTGAGATTTTGGGCTGTAGTTGAGATATTATTGAGCTTTTGAGATGTTAATCATTTGCAGTTGGTTGTAGAAAACTGTCTTGTTGCCATGGTTACCATCATAACAAATGTTCAAAACTAAAAAAAGTCTCTGTAAAAATCCTTCCAGCTGCACAGCATCCAATAGGCCCTTTTCACACTGACGTCAGACAACTTCCTTTTTGACCCCATGCTGTGGATCATTACTTCCGGGTCTATTCTCCCTCGGGAGACCTGTCTGTAAACTTAACGGAATTTCATTCCTTCAACCTTTATTTATAGAGGTTATATTACAAGATATAGTGCAAGGTAAGGTTAATAAAAACAGTATGTATGTGTTTGTTAGCTGTGGTAACGTTATCCATCATTGCAGCAACTTTAGCCACAGTAGCTCAAATATACAACACGGGCTGTCAGTGCTCTAACGTTTAAAGGTTTACTAGCTGTATTAACATTAATAAAAACAGTATTTACTCGTTATCCTGATACATGCTCAATAATCCAGGAAGAAAACCCCCAAAAAGTTCAATCTGGTCCTCTGGACATTCAAAAAACAAAACAAAGCAAAAAAATGTAGAAACATTTCGTCTCTCATCCGAGAGACGTCCTCAGTCTGAGGTGCTGTATTCAGCTCAGTCTCTTAAATAGCACCTTCTCAGAGTGGATTGACCAGTTTGCTGCTGACAACCAAAACCAGCTGCTCACATGGTCAAGAAGGACCATCAGCCTAACAATGGATCATTAGCACACTGATGGCTGCTTACTATTCACAAGGGGTTGAGTGATACTAGCAATCACAGCATTGTAAGAGGGGGACAGTTGAACCCGGAGGCCTCCACCCCTGTTTAATGATGGATGATTTCTTTTCACAAAGATGGCCTCCTTTACTCCTCTCTCAAACCATCGTTCCTCTCTGTGAACATCTTCATCCCTGAAAGAGTGACCGCTGGCCTGGAGATGAGTATAGACTGCAGAATCCTGGCCTGATGATGTTGATCTTCTGTGCTGGGCCATCCTTTTGGCCAGTGGCTGTTTAGTTTCCCCGATGTAAGACTGATCACAGCCCTCCTGACACTGAACAGCATACACAATATTACTCTGTTTGTGCCGGGGGACTGGATCTTTGGGATGAACCAGTGTTTGCCGTAATGTATTTTGGGGTTTAAAAGCCACTGGGTCGTTATGTTTAGAAAGTAAACGTCTCAGTTTCTCTGATACTCCCTCAACATACGGAATGACCACTGGTCTGGGTCTGGGTTCCTCCTTTTCACCTGATGGCTGACTGGAGTCCTGTTTGGGTTTCTTCTCTGCTTTCAGGAAGGCCCAGTTAGGATATCCACATTGCTCTAGAGCCTGTCTTGTGTAGGATTTCTCCTTCTGCCTGGCTCCCGAGTTAGTGGGGATGCTGTCTGCTCTGTGATACAGAGTCCTGATGACTCCTAACTTGTGCTCCAAAGGGTGATGGAAGTCAAACTGCAAATACTGGTCAGTGTGGGTGGGTTTGCGGTACTCCTCGGTTTGCAAATGTCCTCTATCAGAGACTGAGACCTCACAGTCCAAGAAAGCCAACCTGCCATTTTTTCCATCTTCTCGTGTGAACTTGATGTATTTATCCACAGAGTTGATGTGGTCAGTAAAACGTTGGACTTCTGGAGATTTAATTTTAACCCAGGTGTCGTCAACATTACTGCCACCTTACCATGGTGGAGGGGTTTGAGTGTTCCAATGACCCTAGGAGCTATGCTGTCAGGGGCTTTACGCCCCTAGTAGGGTCACCCATGGCAGACAGGTCCTAGGTTAGGGACCAGACAAAGTGCAGCCCAAAAACCCCTTTGATAAGAAAAATAAACGGACCTAATGTTCCCTTCCCCGGACGTGGGTCACCGGGGCCCCACTCTGGAGCCAGGCCTGGAGGTGGGGCACGCGGGCGAGCGCCTGGTGGCCAGGCTTTTACCCATGGAGCTAGGCCGGGCACAGCCCGAAGAGGAGACGTGGGTCCCCCTTCCCATGGGCTCACCACCTGTGGGAGGGGCCAAAGGGGTGGGGTGCAATGTGGGATGGGTGGTGGCCGAGGGCGGGGACCCTGGCGGTCTGATCCTCGGCTACAGAAGCTGGCTATTGGGACGTGGAATGTCACCTCACTGGTGGGGAAGGAGCCTGAGCTGGTGTGTGAGGCTGAGAGGTTCCGGCTAGAAATAGTCGGACTCACTTCTACGTGTGGCTCTGGCTCTGGAACCAGTTTCATTGAGAGGGGCTGGACAACTCTTCCACTCTGGAGTTGCCCCTGGTGAGAGGCGCCGAGCAGGAGTGGGCATACTTATTGCCCCTCAACTTGGTGCCTGTGTGTTGCGGTTCACCCCGGTAAATAACAGGGTGGCCTCCCTCCGCCTACGTGTGGGGGGATGGGTTCTGACTGTCGTTTGTGCTTATGCACCAAACGGCAGTTCAGATTATCCACACTTTCTGGAGTCCTTGGAGGGGGTACTGGAAAGTGCACCTCCTAGGGACTCCCTTGTTCTGCTGGGGGAGTTCATTGCTCATGTGGGCAATGACAGTGAGACCTGGAGGGTTGTGGTTGGGAGGAACGGCCCCCCTGATTTGAACCGGAGTGGTGTTCTGTTGTTGGACTTCTGTGCTCGTCATTGATTGTCAATAACGAACATCTTGTTCAGGCATAAGGGTGTCCATATGTGCTCTTGGCACCAGGACACCCTAGGCCACAGTTCGATGATCGACTTTGTCATCGTCTCTTCTGATCTGCGGCCATATGTCTTGGACACTCGATTGAAGAGAGGGGCGGAGCTGTCCACTGATCACTACCTGGTGGTGAGTTGGCTCCGATGGTGGGGGAGGATGCCAGTCAGACCTGGCAGACCCAAACGTATTGTGAGGGTTTGCTGGGACCGTCTGGCAGAGTCTCCTGT